TATTTACCTACGATTTACATAAAAAGCATTATATACTGTAAATAATATAACAATTATATTAAGAGGTACTACAGTATTGCCTAATGAAAGGAATTTTGTTTAAAGCAATATTACACTTAGTTGGAAATTGTATACAATGTTATACTAATATTTTGTGTTTATATATCGGTAATCATTTTTAGAATTATGTTATTTGACGGCACAAAGCAGTTGACATTCATGTTATACACAGTCCATAGAACTCATGTTATTCAATGAAATAAAAGAAGATGTCAGCGATAGTTGAACGTGAATTCAACAAACTAATTTATTAAATTTATTAAAAACACTTTAGTTGGGTGCACGACCTCTTAAAACAACAATAAATTCAAATTCAAATTCGCCAAGTTTAGTCAATTCAAAATGTTATGTCGCCGACTAACTATTCATGACAATCATAACATAACCACTCAATTTACTGTTTCCAACTTAGAAAATAATGCTATAAATAGAATAAACTTCTAATCTTCTATCAAAATCTTACCAAACTCAAAATATTAAAATACACATAATGTCCCTATCATAATCACTATTGTATAAGTAGAAATATAGTACTATTTGCTATAGTTTTTTAAGTGTACCAGAATACGGATTGGTTAACATTTATGGGCTTCAGGGCTACTATTGATAGTTAGTATTAATTATACCATTACTAATTGCTGTTGATTAAGACTTGTGTTACTATAGTTCATATAAGTATCATGATTTGATAATATGTGATGAATGTAAACTAAGTTTGAAAACTAATGGAAGATTTTTATGAAAATTGACCATTGTGATTCATCAATTAATTTAACTGATTACTTGATAGACATATGTATATAATAATAATACCAATTTGAATGTCGACGAGAGCTCTGTGTGGGACACCAATCGGAATAATATTTCTGAACCTCAGGGTCTCAGCGATGAAAGCCATGACATAATGGCATCGATTCCTGTCCTCATGTGTTGGCATTCGGTCTCCGATTTGTGTCTCAATCTCTTGTCTCAACTTTCGCTGCACTTCCGGGTAATAGCACATCAATAGCACAATCCATTGAAAGGTGTTTTGCGAGGTGCTTATTCCTCCCAGAAACAGACTCATCGCAGACATCGCCAGGTTATCATCGGTGAGATAAGGGGCCCACTCTTTACCCTCTCTGAGGGCCTCATTCTTAGCGGTTATGAGTGCATCGCAAATGTCTCTCTCAATAGCATCCGAGTAGTCCGCGTAATGATCTTTGAATTTATTTCTAATCATTAAACTCATCTCGGTCAAAATTTGTTGTTGTTTTTGCACTGATCTCCTGTCCAATAGTCGTATAAATGACGAGAAATCCCATAACATAAACCTGGCGCCCACCTCATGACCTACGTCCATTAACACGTATTTAAATCGTTTCAATTCCGGGTCATCCATTGTGTAGCTATTATATGACAGTTATTTTTAAAACATACTGTATATCCTACTGCATATCTCTGATAATTGATCAGTGACTTTTTAACCTACCGGTATATTGTAGTGACCTAGATTCAAATGGTTTATGTTCATAAATCTAAGTCTAAAACGATCATATTTATAAAATTATTCCCTGTTAAAAGTTGACATAACTTTTGATTTACAGTAAAATGTCAATTAAATAAAGGATATAAAAGTAATTAAAATAATCATGCTTATAACTAAACATATTTTGTAAAGCTATATAAGCTAGCACCCAAATTGTATTATCTATCATTCAGTACCTATTATTATTGTAACAATCTGACAGTTATATTCATAGTATTTGTGACAAAATAAAAGTTATATTTAAAGCCCACGTATATTAATCATTCATTTTAAGGCACCGGCCTTAAGGGTGGGTAGCATAACCTCCCGTTCACTTCAATATTATACTCAAAATGAACATGGAGTTTTTATAAGTTAAATATTTGCAGTACTGGTTTATTATGAGAATAAAAATTATTTTAGTAAAGTGTATAACCTTTTGCCTAAAATGCTGGCGGATATGATGTTGAAAAACATGTAAAAGATATAGTCCTTCACAATAAATGGTTTGTCCAGTCCTTCCCTATCGATCATAGATTTGACGGTTTGGTCGACACAATCAACGGTTAAATATATGAGTTTATCGAGTGTTGAATATTTCCTATTAAGGGTCAAAATGATATCAAGGTAATCAAATTTACAATTTGACCTAAATTACAAACTATGGATTATGGCATTATAAATAAATCACATCTATACTAGTAATATAATACGATACATTTGTAAAATGAACATGCATGAATTATCAAATTATTTCAAAATTTTTTTATACATATACATAAAGACATAATTCAGAGTTTATAACCTTTTAGATCGGTTTGTGTTAACAATACTGAACTGAATGGCCGGTTGTGTGGTCCGTCTGATTGCTTCCCACTCGTGTCCGTCACTAAAGACCACCTCTCGATGATTATCATTTGACAATTGTTTGGCTTTTTTATCAAGATCATTGTGATTAATATCATTTAAGGTCACATGCAGTATTCAGTAATAGCAATTATACCGAAATATGAGCTTGGTCGTCCGGTGAGATTTCTCTTATGAAATGCCTCCCGCGCTATATCTATGTCCGTAATGACCACTAGAGGTGTGTTTGCGAACCAAACGGTGAATACCTGACCGTATTTGCGACTCAACCCTCTGAACACGTCATCCCAATGCTCAGCAGATTTGAACACTTATTGAATGCAATAGAAAAGTCATCAACACTTCAGGCACATTATGAATAGGGACTGGGTCAATTGTTTGTTATACATGATCAAATAAGCATAACTTATGTCAATTATTTTTGTGTGTTTTCATGTACCATCTTTAGTTTATAACTGCAATTTAGTACTGTAATAAAATTTATCTTGAATATTATTATTTATTAACAATTAGTAATTACAACTAACTTAACTTGATATTTAAACTATTCATATTTCTTGATTATGGGAACATTGATACAAAAATTTAACTTTTTAACTGCTTAAAATTTATCTTGAATATTATTTTTTATTAACAATTAGTAATTACAACTAACTTAACTTGATATTTAAACTATTCATATTTCTTGATTATGGGAACATTGATACAAAAATTTAACTTTTTAACTGCTTATATACAACATATGACATATGACTACAACAGTGTTTAGTGTTGTGACTAATCAGCGAAGAGATGGTCCCGCAGGAGTGGGTTTTTACGCGGGAACTGCTCCCGAGCGCGGTAGTGGGACTACAGTGTATGGAGTGAGGCGCGGGAGTGGGAGTGGGAGTGAGGTCCCGCACTGACTCCTGCATTAGCAAAAACATGTGTATGGCATACACTCTATGGCTACGCTGCACACTGGAGCCATTTGGGGCCACACTATGAGTGACAAAACTTTAAACATTTTAACATTAATCTCAATACTGACTAATGTTATAATATTCACTGTTTTGTCACTGCTAATGTGGCCCGGATTATAATGTATGCGCATCGTAGCTCTATGGCATAGAGTCTATGCTATGCGTTACTCTGAGGCTTCACTCACTCCCGCGTTATAGAGCACTCATTGCTTTTGCATAGCGTTCGCATTATACCGTAGCAATTATAATGTATGCGCATCGTAGCTCTATGGCATAGAGTCTATGCTATGCGTTACTCTGAGGCTTCACTCACTCCCGCGTTATAGAGCACTCATTGCTTTTGCATAGCGTTCGCATTATACCGTAGCATTCATTTCGGTCGTATTCTATAGAATTATAGTATACAAAGAGATTTTGAGTATTAGGCACAACGTTAACGAGACAACAATTATGCCGACAAACAAGCCTTTAAACACAGCAAAGGGATTAACTTCAGTTGTGAATCACTTTTTATCGATTTCATAAAAACAATACTTCTAAAGGATAGCGTCTAAAAGTCTAAAAGTATTTTTCAACCACTCGTTGAGACATTACTCAACTTTTATACAAAATATACTATTTCTGCGCTTAATAAGCGTTTACCACACGCGTGGACCCCATTGTATAATCATTAGGGCCATATAATTCCGGGTCAAGAATATTTTATTAAAGTATAGAGTGTCACATTGCATTACAACTATTTCAATTGAAAATAAATTGATTATATTTTACAAATAGATTTGGGATTGTCAATGAATGTAAAATAAATGATAAAATGCTTTCCAATCACAACACCATTAATACACTCAACACTTATCACTATTTCCACTGTTTTTGGTCTAAATGTCAGTACAAGACTCGAAATGAATGTCACTTTAATAATTATAAATTAATTCATTCAAATATAAAACAATATAAATATCACTTCAAAACTCGATATAATAAACTGATTTTATGATTTAATACATAAATTAAAACATTCAAATAAAANAATTAATTCATTCAAATATAAAACAATATAAATATCACTTCAAAACTCGATATAATAAACTGATTTTATGATTTAATACATAAATTAAAACATTCAAATAAAATAAATAAATTGCATTCCAATCACAACACCATTAATACACTCAACACGTGCTTTCAAATCACATGAAATATTTTGTATACATCTAACACAAAATAAGTCATAAGATTGTCTTATCTATACTGAACACCTTTTACTTTCAAATAAAACCTGTTTAATGCAGTAGTTTTATACATGTACACCCAGAATTATATGGCCCTACTAATTGACATTAATACCAATAAATTAAATTAGAAAGTAAAAGTTTTCTCGTATATATAAATAATCCAATTTTCTACACTAAATTATGAATTTTATATATCAATATTTCCTTAAATACAATATTTTGAACATAATGAATTATATTATGTTATGCATAATTTTTGCACTTATCATTCAAAATACGAATGCTTATTATTTAAATCGGACTAATTATTCAAATAATAAACAAGCAAAATTATCTCATTTCAGCAGATCATTTAGCGGTGAAGCATTGGTATGTATGGAACTAATTCAAGATTATGTCAATGAATGTGTGGCTAATGATAAACTGCCTAATGAATCATGTGGTCAATATTATTGCTGCTCAAAGTGGTTGGAATTTGATTGCATGTCGCCCATAGCCTATGTAATATCAACATAGTTCAATTACTTAAGAAGTTAAATTGATAAACTTAATTTCAGGATCATTGTAACATTGCTCAATGGATGGAAGTAATGCGCCAAATACCACTTATTATAGCCGATTTAAACGGCGATCAGTGTAAAGATTATCCATACGATGACAAAGATGCATTATGTTCTGATTGTAGTGGAACAGTCACAACAGATAGACCAATGTCCACAATACCCTGGGTATCAACTACTACTTATAGTCCTACTCCGTCTTCTACACCAGAACCGACCACAGTAACGGTCCCAGATACTACCACAGAACCGACACCAGGACCGACCACAGATACAACAGAAACGGTCCCAGATTGGACCACAGAAGCGACCACAGAAGGGACCACAGAAACGGGCCCAGATTGGGCAGAAACGACCACAGAAACGGGCCCAGATTTGACAGAAACGCCCACAGAAACGGTCCCAGATTGGACCACAGAAGCGACCACAGAAGGGACCACAGAAACGGGCCCAGATTGGACAGAAACGCCCTCAGAAACGGTCCCAG